ATACTTTTATTAAGTTGATGTATTTGTAACATTTGGGTATTAAGAGTCCCCATTACCACTGTATTAGTGCTTATCTGATTTTTTCATATCCATTAGTGTTCATTTTATGCAGTTGGGTATGCTGATATTTGGTATATATATTTATGATTATCCCTTCCTCTGGATTTTACAAGGTGTAACCTTCTTTGTGTCTTCTGGTCAGTCCTGGCTTGAAATCCACTTTGTCTGCAAATAGAATAGCTTCTCCCACTTTTTTCTGTTTTTTTGTTCCATGAAGTGTTGTTTTCTATCCTTTGACTTCCAGTTTGTAAGTTTACTTTTGAGTTAAATGTGTTTCTTGTATACAGCATATGTTTGGATCCTATTTCTTTTTTTTTTTTTTAATTTTATTTAAGGAGAAAAACAAACAAAAAAAAAAACAGAAAAGGGCACAAGTTATACAGAATCTCAGAAAAAACAAACAGTAGGAAATCACTAGTTAACAGATTACATATTGTCATCTTAGAAATAGCTGTTCAAGTTACAAAATCAAAGCGTACAAAGTGGACATTCAAACAGTGAGACTGCAAAAAGTTCTGTTCAGTGATCCAACAAAACTCAGTAATATGGTTATCTATCTTATACACTTAAATATACATGCAGTTATATCCTTTAGAGCAAGATCCTATTTCTTATCCCTTTTGGCCAGTCTATTTCTTTTGATGGGTGAATTGAGGCCATTCACATTGATGATTATAATTTATAGATATTATGACTTGTCCTTGTCCATGTATGACTTTCTATTTGAGTCTTTCTTTTCTATTTAATTGCTTGCCTTACCTGATGAATTCATCCTATTGGTGTTCTTGGAATTGTCTTTTTCTAGCATATCTTTCAAAACTTTTCAGAATGTTGATTCGATGGACAGCTATTCAGATGATTTTTATCATAGAAGTATCTTATTTTTTTAATTTTGAAAAATAATTTTGTGGGATTTGTGCATCAGGGTTAGAGGTTGATCTATTTTAGGGCTTAAAATTCTTCACTTCATGCTGTCCTTAACTTAGAGGTTTAGGTTGAGAAGTTGACTGATTCTAATTAAGTTTTCCTGTATAGATGATTTGTTTCTTTTCTCTGACAGCTTTTAATATGCTGTTCTTGTATTGAATTTCCAGAATCCTGACTCAGGGATGGTAGTGTGCTTCTGTAATCCTAGTACTCGAGAGGCTAACGCTGGAAGATTGTTGTGAGTTCAAAGTCAGCCTGGGCTACAATGGTGAATCCAAGGCCAGCCTAACATACATAGTGAGACCCTGTCTCAACAAACAAACAAACAAAAAAAATAACTTTCTAGAATCTTGACTCTTATATGCCTTGATGCAGTTTTTTTCCTAGAGTTCTGTATGCCTTACTTATCTTTACGTCTTAGCCTTTGAGTCTGTCTCAGGGTCAAGCCTTTTCTGATTTTTAGAGATGAGAAGAGAAGTTATAGCCTGTTGGCCAAGAACCCATTTCTTTGCTACTGGACTGTATGTAGTACTATGTCCCCCATACAATCTAGGTATTAGTATGCAAGGAAAATCAGTTGATCACAGCACCTGTGTCATCTTGGCTAAAATAGTACAATCAGCAATAACAATAACAAACCCTAAGACAAACGAGAATATTATATACAGTAAATATCCACTCAGTAGAGCTTTTTTATCCTAAGGGAAGAAAATTAAAAGAAGAGGAAAAAGGAATAAAAGAAGAAAAGATATTAGAAGTAAGATTGAAGGACAGCAAGATTACCCAATTTTAGGAAACTGATAAAGAAGTTAGGGATGGAAAAGCATGAAAAAATGTAAACAGAGTCAAAACAAGACCAAAAAACTACAAGTAATGTTCACTTTCACAAAGAAACAAAAACAAATGATTAGAGAGAAAAAAACTTTAAAAAGTGAAAAAAGAAAAATCAAAAGATGTTTCTCTGTGATTTCAAGTCTGTGGTTATCTTCTTGAGGTTTGTAGTTTCGTGGCACTGTCCAGTTGAGGTTGTGATTGTGCTCTTCCTGGTAGATCAAGGAGACAGCCAGAACCTACGTTTGTGCTGGATGATCCCAGCAAGCCAGCAGTAGTATTAGGGCTTGGTGTTAGTTCTGGAACTTTCAAATCCACAGAAGTTCAGGTTGAACCGAGTGTCTGGTTGTGGGATTGAGACCTGAGTCATTTAGCTTATAACACTCTGGCTGTCTCTTGTAGGCCTGCCCATGGCCCCCTGACCATAGACCTGTCCTGTTATTGTCTCTCACCCAGTCACTATGGTAGTTTAACACTGGGAGCCCTGAGATGAAGCTGACCATGGCCGCTGTGTCCTGGCTCTGTTCGCTCCTTCCTAAAATGCCATCTGACTAACATGCCATCTGGAGCACTTAGCAGTCACTTGGACTGGCATCACTTCCACTGCTCCATTCCACTGGTACATTTCTCCCTGGAAGCCTCTGAAGTTGCCACTTTCACTGTGTCTCTGTAGGTTACATCTTCCCTTCTCTCAGTACATGCTAGGAGCCAGAAAAAAAGTGCTATTTGCCTTTCCTTGTCATGCATTATGGTCTGTCTCTTCAATTTCTCTGTGAGCTCTAATTTTCCTTTCAGATCCTTCTTGGGTCCCAGCAATCTACCTCTCTCTTTTCCTTCCCCAAGTTGTTATTTTGCTCAGTGTCCTTTTGATACATAACCAAAAATAAATTTAAAGTTAGGTGTGTTAGGTCTTGCTAGCTTGGTTTTGGGGAGTGTTATATATTGTTTTAATAGAAATGATTTCCTCCTGGATCAGATGAAGTAGAATAAAAAGCTTGTGCTTTGTTTTTTTAGGAATGTCATATAAAGTTGCTTCAAATGATATTAATAGTTCCCAAATAGTATTAGGGATAATACTCTCTGAAAATTTGAAACCTCTTAAGGTATCTTCTGTGTCTATGACTTTGTGGAGAAAGAATATCGGTTTCAAGAATAAAAACCACATAGTATTGAGGTTTTACCTACAGAAGCAGATCCCTCAAGTCCCTCTCCATACACACAGTGTCAATAACTGTGTGGTCTTGGCTGCCTGTTGGAGCCTTATTAAATGACTTTTGTGATTTTACTTGAAAGTAAATACTAGATATGAGGTCTGTCTTTAGCTGTTATGTTCTGGGAGTCTGACGTTACAACTCATTTTTCAATGGAGTAACTCTGCAGAGTATCAAAGCTCATTTCCTTATGTGCAAGTTAACGGTATAAGTCCTTAAGGCCACATTACATGAGAGGAACAGGAGTTTCAGGCCTGTAATAGTGAACTGGGTGATTCAACTACTTGTGCATCTTTGTTTTTTTTTTTTTTTTTTTCTGTTCTGGCGGGCTTTTCTCTCATCTGTTTTTAAAATGACATGGCTGTGCTTCTAGGTAATAATGATGACTTTTATTCTTGTCTTTTTTGCCCAATCAAGTAAATGTTTTATTTTGTTCTTCAATTTAAAATACATTGAAGTGAAAATTTTATTTGCTGTTACAAATATTAACCCATGTGTCCTTTTTAATTGTTTCATCCCATTTCTACTTCCTTTGGCTGTGAGCAACTTAATAGCTAAAATTGAATTAGTGTTGCCTTTAATTTCACTCTCTTCTGAGTCTTTTTTCAGTTTTATGAATCAAGAGAGTGAAATGGAAAAAAGACCATTTATGAAATCCTGCCTATAAAAACTATACATAATTTCATATCCTTTTCCCCTCAGCATACTGTATTAAAATACTTCTTGTACTATATGCATTTGCAACAATAAGGTTGTATCTCATGCATTGCCTTATAAATTAAGTTCCAAAAAGCAAATGTAACTGGTATACTTTTGAGCTGTATTATCACTTGCTCCCCTCCTTCTGGTATTTTTCATTATCTGGGACTTTATAAGATACGGCTTTATTGGTTTGAAATGTGTATTTTAACTGCAAATTGAATGATCTGCATTGTAACTTTTATTCTGTGGTGTGCTGATAATATGGTGTACTCTTTAAGGCTTTGTAAAAGAACATTTGAATTCAACGTTAACCTTTTATCACTACTTGTGACATCTTGGGTGTTTTCTCTATATGCTACTGAAATTCTGGCAAATAGCAAAGTAAGTGAAGCTTCAGTTTAGATATGTATGATGTTTGATGAAGAAAATCAGGTGTGCCTTGGAGGTAATTCTGATTTTGGATTCCATGCGAATTCTAAGCATATTCAGCTTGGTTTTCTCACATTTCCAAAGGTCTGTAAGTTGCAAAGCATGTGGGTTTGTGGGTATGTGGGACAAAAATGTCTTATAGATACCTTATTCACAGATTTTTTTAGTTGAATTTTATGACCATCAGATTTTTGAGTGATATTAAAATAAGGGTAGTTTGTTTAGGTGAACCCTGTTCTCAAGGGTTCTGAATTCTTCTAGCATAGTAGAAATGATTAAGGAAGCATTCTGCCCAGTTTTGTGTCTGGTCCAGAAAACAGTGTCAACCCTTCCATTTTCTCACCAGGAAATAGGCCTAATGATGGGCTCATATTTAGACAGCATCTTTCTAGATTTATTTATGGATTAGGCAGTGTTATGGTTTGTGTTCAGATTCCCCCCCCCGCCCCCCCCATGCAATCATGGATGCATCTGAGTCTGATGGTCATGATTGTTTCTTGGTCTGGTGCTGGGGTTGGTGGTGTGAGTGCTGCAGTCACCCAGGGTGCAGCTGGCATACAGCATAAGGATGCCATCCATCCTGCTTTGGAGCCAGCTGAGTATGGACTAAATTCCCCAAAACTATAAGAAATAAACATTCCCTTGCTTCATATTGGGTGTCAGGTATTTTTTCTCAGTGATGAGAGAAAAATAGCTTAAGTAGAAGTAAGAACTTTAAAAGTGGTTCATGGGGCGGCGGGGGGGGGCTGAGGATTTAGCTCTGCAGCATAAGTGCCTGACTTGAAAGCAGGCAGTCACGAGTTTCGATCCCTGGTACCAATAAAAACAAAAAAGACAAAAAAGACAAAAAAAAAAAGTGGTTCATGGAATATCATACAAATAAATAATTACCCCCCCCCAAAAGTCCAGAAGAGGTGGTGTACTCCTGTAATCCTAGCATTCAGGAGGCTGAGGCAGGAGGATTGTTTCAAGTTCGAGACCAGCTTGAGCTACAAAGTGAGCATAAGGCCAGGCTGAACTACATGGCGAGACCCTGTCTGAAAGAGACAAGAAAAAAGAAAAGAATAACAGGATTACCTGAGTTATGATGTACAAATAAAACCTTTTTAAAAATCAAATAGCCAAGTTATTTAAAATAGTTTATTCTAGTTCAGTAAATTCACTATCTCTAATCATATTTTATATTCGTTAGGAGCAACAATCCATTTACATCCTGCCTCTTCCTGAAATTCAATTGACATGACTTACTTTGAACAAAAACGTAAAGTAAGGTTGATACAGAAATTTAAGATCAAGCAAATAATAGTAGACAATTGTGAATTTAATTGTCATATTGAGTTTTGATTTCAAACCCAATTACTAGTAGGGGAGCAAAAGGGAAAACTGAGACACAGTTGCATAGTTCTTGTCTAGAGGATGAAGAAAAATATGACCCCTATTCCCTTGAAATAGCTTAATTTAAGAACAGAATGTAAAAAGAACCTTTACGTAAAGTTTTTAATAAGAAATATCAAATAAGTATTCCATAACGATCAGCCCTAGATATCAAGGGTCCTCAGTATTTTGATAGTAAGTATGGAGCCATGAGTTTCCTTCTTGTAAGTACCCTACAAAGGCTGCGTCCTAACATCTAGCTGCCACCAAGCCAGGTATGAGCTGGTAAGGGATTGATCCACCATTTGGTATTCGGTCTCCCTGGTACAGTGTTCTGAACACTGAGGATTTCAGTACATCTGTTACCATTACTAACATGGGAATTCATTTTTGCCATTGTGTTCATTCTGTCTTTCAGTGCAGATCCATTGCAAGCTCTCTGCTTCCATTCCACATTCTTCATTTCTAACTTTTTCTTCCCTATGTTTCTAGCCCTGTTTCCCTTGTATTTTTTGTTTTTTCTCTTGTTTGGAAGTGATACATTCTGTAATATTAATTAAAACTCAATATTTTTACATGCATGTTCAACTCGCAAGTTTTTCTTCTTCTGAAACAGTATAGTACTGTTTTAGAATCTTAGAGTGTGGGGTGTTTTGTTGTTGTTTTGTTGTGGTTTTCAGTGTTTTGTTGTTGTTGGATTTTGTTTATTTGTTTTGTTTTGTTTTGTTTTGGTCTTTTTGAAACAGAGTTCAGGCTGGCCTTGGACTCACTTTGTAGCGCAGGCTATCTTTGAACTGGCAATCCTCCCAGCTCCTGAGTGCTGGGATTACAGGTGTATGCCCCCACACCTGGCCTTCGAGTGCTTTTAATTTCAGTCATGTTAGAATTCAAATATTACTGTTATCTACCATTTGGGGTCTCTCATTTTTTTAGCCCAAAAGTTAGACACTATCGATTGTCTGCCTCATTTTATTGGGCCTTTGCTCAAACCTATCGATCTGGTAATCTTTTTATTGCCTCATATTCTTGCACATTGCACCCTCTTCTGTAATCACCTTCTTTCCTGAAGTATAACTGGGGATCAAACTCACGACTGTGCCCTTGCAAGGCAGGGGCTTATGTCACTGAGCTAAATCCCCAGCCAGAAGTATATTCTTTAAGAAGTTGTAGGGAAAGGAAATCTTGGGAGTTAGTGCCCTTGGATTGTTTGTTTCTTTGTTATTTTAATATCTTTACTTTGTCCTATTATGGGGGGGTGGTCCATTGGATATAAATATTTCCTTTATGACTGTTTAAAAATCTCTGAATTTTTGTTGTCCTAAAACTTCACTTCAGTGTAATCTAACCATGGGTTTCCTTTTTATTTATCCTGTGTAGAATTTGTTTGACTTCCCAAGTCTGAAAATTGTATTTCATCCTCTTTGAAAAAAACATAGCTATTTTCTTTTTAGTATTGTCTCCTGCCATTCTTTCTTTCCTTTTGAAGTTCCTAGTAGTAAAATAATACATCAATTCTGTCTTGCATATTTCTTTTACAGATTTTATATTTTCTATATCATGAAACATTTTTATTTCCCAAATAATTTCTTTAGTTTGACCTTCCAGGTAAATAAATCTCTTTTTAGCAATGTTTGGTTAATATTTTGTGTTTCCATAAGTGGTAGATGCTACTACTTTTTTCTGTTTTGATCCTTTTCAAATATACCTAGTCATTTTTGGTTTGGTTTGGTTTGGTTTGGTTTGGTTTGGAGTCAGCGTCTCACTATGTAGTATAAGCTGGCCTCAACTCACAGTGATCTGCCTGCCTCAGCCTCCCAAGTGCTGGAATTACAGCCATGAGCCACCATACCCAGCCCTAGTTGCTTTTGAGTGTCTCTGTCCTCTTTATTTCTGTTAATGTAAGAAATAGTTTTATTGATGTTGTTTTGTCTTGGTAGTGGCAGTGGCAGTACCACCAAAAATTGAACTGAGCACTATCACTAAGTCACTAAGTTTCTCAGGTCGTGCTTGATTTTTTTTTTTTTTTTTTTGGTACCAGGGATTGAACTCACAAACACGCACTTGCCAGGCAGGTACTTACACCACTGAGCTAAATCCCCAGCCCCAGCGCTTGAATTTTTTTGATCTCCTGCTTCAGCCTTCCAATGTGCTAGAATTACAAATATGTACCACCATGCCCAGCTAAATTAACTTCTCTCAGAGAAAATTTCCTTTCTTATATGCTTCTACCAATTGCCCAGGGATTCTAAACTTAAAAGTTTTTCAGGCCAAATAGATAAAGATAATGTAGTTTCTATATCTGAAACGCTTGAGGAGGAGGCCATATTTTGGTTTACATTTAGGGTAGTGTGGAGGCCTTTTCTTGTTTTTCTCCTTGAGTGAATGCTGACTGTAGTATTATTTTATTTTCCTTTTCCAGGCTACTTGTTTCCTTAATTTTCTCTTTACAAAGATTATTACCTTTTGGCTGTTCCAGTTCTGTGCAGGGTCCCTCCTCTGACACACCTATTTTGTAAGGCCCCTGGCACTTGTCCATTAAAAACCCAAGTTCCAATCACAAATTCCCCCCAGTCGCCAAGGTTGACACTATTTTCAGTGCTCAGTTTCTGCTTTTAGGGATAATTCATCTTAATCTTTCACCTGCATAGCTATATATGTATTTAATTATAGAATGCTAATTATTTAATTAGCATTATAGAAATTATTTGATAATTGTACATTCAGCCATTTTAAGTGTATAATGCAGTGATTTTTTTTTCTTTTTTTTTTATTTAAGTAGAAAAGAAAAAAAAACAGTGAAAGGGTACAAGTTATACAGGTTTACAGAAGAAAAAAATGAACAGTAGGAAATCATTAGTTAATGGATTACATATTGCCATCTTAGAAATAATTGTTCAAGTCACAAAATTAAAGCTTGTAGAGTGGACATTCCAACAATGATACTGCAAACAGTTCTGTTCAATGATCCAATAAAACTCTGTGATATCATTTTCTATCTTATACACTTAAATATACATGCAGTTATATAGTTTAGAGCACTTTCTTTTCCTCTTTTTTGTACAATGACTATTACACATTTTGGATTTCATTGCTCCCACGGTTCTTATTGCTTTTTTGGAAGAGAGTAAAACCAAATGTGACATAACAGAACAGAATCGGTCAAGTCAAAAGGGTGGACATAATAGATAATATAAAAACATAATACAAGGTGATCAACAATGGTTACCATAATGCCTCCCGCTATCTCTAATAGAATTGCCTATATCATTAGTTATAATACAATTGAACAAAACAGTAAAGAACAAAACCGACAAAATCAAAACATTGGAGACATTGTAGGTTAATGCAGTGATTTTTAATAAGTTTATGGAACTGTGCAGCCACCATCACAATCTAGGTTTAGAGTTTTTCTCTTACTCACACATTCTTTGTTTTTTATATCTTATTTTCAACCACCTGTAGCTGGGACAAGTTTGAGTTACTGATTTTACTATTACTTTGTAATTACAGGAATTCAGATCATTTTAAAGAAGAACACATAGATGTAGCTTGACTCTCAGGGCCCCATGGGATGCAGTGCAGGTTTTGAGCTCCCTCCAAGCCAGCTGTTTTGGTCATGGGGTCACCTTTAGACCTTACAGCTTTCTGTGCCTCCATTCTTCTCACACGCTCACTCCTGTGGCAGATGTAAGCCATTAGGAGAGGAAAGAAGAAATCTCTTCTACAAAGGCTCGGGAGTTGGGGGCAGTTGAGTAACTCAGTCAAATATAAAACTAGGGGCAGTTAATATAGACATCAAAACAACTTTTGTTTGGTTTAAGAAAGTCATAAAATCAGATATAGTGGAGGAAAATAGGGATATTTTTGCAACAGACAGCTTCACTTTAATTCTGTTTAAAGACAATCCATTGGAGTAAAGATAGAACTTTCCTAAGTGTCTGAAAAGTTGTCTTTCTGTGTGGTATAGATGTCGTATTTGTTGATCTGACATATCCTAGCTTTGACAGCTCAGATTGTCACTGGGTTACTTCTGAAATAAGCATAAGTCATGGCTGATTTTGTTTTACCAGGGACTTGAAAGTTTTCTAGAGACACTTACTGTTCGACAAGGTCCATCCATATTTAGAGCAAAGAAGAACTTGTACAAGAAAGGATCTGTGATCTCAAAGCTATGGTTACAGTGTCGATTACAGTTCACCTCTTAGATGAGCAAGAATAAGAGACATGTTGCCAACACATAAGTAATATAACTGTAGTAGCAAAAATATATTTATTTTCAGAACAAATTGAAAGATACCACTTACTGCTCTGCAAAGTCTCCCCTCCGCTAAGTCCTCTATGGAAGTTAGGTGCTCCACAAGTCTGTAATCAGACATTAGATTCTTCTTTAGTCTTGTTATCCAGGTTAACTGTTATCCAGATTTCTAGATAATGGTGCTGTGGAGTAACTGTGAAGGTAGTGAGCCCCAGCTTTTCCACCAAAAGAGGCATTTAGGAAACACCTCTCCGTACTCCCCTTTCACTGTAGTCAGGCCCCAAGCTAGTGTGCAACTGTATGCAGTTAGCCTGTCAGAATTGTGGTGGAGCTTGCATTTGCACATTCGTCATTGTTAGAAGTGACCCTGGAGGGTGAATTAAAGCTCATTCATCCAGAGAAGACTGTCAGTGACAGGCACTGCTTCCTCCACCCAGGCCTTCTGAAACAGACAGTGTGCTCTTGTAGAACATCACTGCTTCAACAGTACATCAGAACATTTTAATGTTTTAACATAAGAACAACTCTTCCATACCTTTTGTTTTATTATGATTTATATTAGGAAATAGAAAAGATGGTTTACAGAATTCAGGCATTTCAGCCTTAGCCACACCCTCATGTGTCTCAGACTGATGTGCAAGGAGGGTACTTACATAATCTTTTGCTTCTTAAATACTTTTTATGAATTTTAAGGATTCACAAAATTGAAGAAATATAAAACAAGTAAAATCACATTGGTAGTGACTAGAAAGTAGAAAGAAGAATCAGAATGACAGTAATCCTAGTAAGTCTGGCTGGTCTCCTAAAAGATGGGAGTGAGTGGGGCTGCTGGCCATCTCTCCAATCACCTCACCAGGGCACTTGGTTAGTCTAATAAAACTGTTAATTCAGTGGTCAGCATCAAATTTGTTTTTTTAGAATGCCTTATTTAGGCAATACAGCAGTAGAAGTTGTAGCTTATTCTTCATGGACATATCTAATTTAAGCTTTTGCCTTCTGTTTCACATCATAAAATACATACTTTGAAAGTAATTCCCGCCCCCCCCCCCACTCCCCCAGTATTGGGAATTGAATGCAGGGCTAGACCACATGCTACATACTGTACCACTAAACTACTTTCCCAGTCCTCCTACAGGCATACATAACTGCCCAGCAGAGGGTAATTTTTAAGTCTTAAGTTTTATAAAATTTAGCTTAGTTCATATTTTGTGGTAATCATCAAACTACACAAAGAAATAGAAATCATTTCTGCAAATTGTCATCCTTAAAAGAAATGCCTCTTTGTTCAGGTTGACAGTAGAAGATAGAGGAAGACTATAGATGTTGCTTCTTCATGTTATTTTGAAGGCCCCATAAACATTAGTGATCTGACTTGCCATTTCTTTCTGATTTTATGTTTAAATTGCATGTTACTTGTTGCTCTTTGTTACAGGCATTGTAGGATTTTGATAGTTAAGAATCTCACAGGAAGCTGATAATCTTTAACTGTGGCACTGCAAACAGCCATAATAATGTGTAATTTTTCCTGTGCGTGTATGTGCTCAAGTTTGGTGGAGGAGTAAAAATCAAAGGTTATTGTCGTTGCCCTTGTTTCTCTGATATTAGATTCTGGAAAATGCCTCTGATATTCCACTGCCTACGCCTTCATCATTCATAACTCAGTTTGCACCTGGGGTAAAGCTGTGTCTCAGTGCTGTATAGTCAGTTGGGCCCTAGCACTGCTAATAGAATTGACAAGCCTGTTCATTTAGAGACATAGATAAGTGATCACTACCTTCACAGTCGCTCCACAGCACCATTCTCAGCGCAGCCAGGGTTTTAACCAAACAACTGTGACGCAACTTGGAAAGATGGTTTCTGGCTCCATTAGCTGTATCACTGAGATGCTAGCTAGAAGATAAAGATTTTATTTCAGATTAAACACTGTCGGTCAGGAAAGGATAAAGCTATGGATGTTTTGGAAAACCCAGATGAAGGACAATTTTGCTCTCTCTGAAATATCATCCCTGTTTCCTCTTTCCAGTTTTTGAGGATGGCCCTGGGTCTGTCTTGATGTCATCTTCATACTTTTTATTTGCAAAACAGACCTTTGTTCAAATAAAGCTTATCTTGACTTAAATCAGCATTCATACACCTATCAAGTGAAAAATGAGAATAGCAACTTAGGCTTTTAATTTCCTTCCTTCAAGAACAGCTTAAAAATTCTTTTTTTGTGGATACCAAGGATACTTTCTTCTGTCGTCTTCTTTCTTACTCTTTTTTAAGATAAGATCTCCTTAGCGCTGGGGATTTAGCTTAGAGGCATAAGTGCCTGCCTGGCAAGTGCAAGGTCCTGAGTTCAGTTCCAGGTACCAAAAACAACATAATTAACAAAAAGATAAAGTCTTGTTATGTAGTCCATGCTAGCCTGGAACTCACTATGTAACCCAAGCTGGCCTGGAACTGGCAGTGATACTCCTGCCTCAGCTTCCCGAACACTGGAATTACAGGTGTGTGCTATCACTCTGGGCCATTGGTGCTTTCTTAATGCCCTGGGTCCTTCACTTTTTCTCACAGCACTGCCAATACCAGAGAGCCTCTTTTTGAAGTTAGCATACAGGCAGATAAAGTCCCTACACAGCCTCTGAGGCACAGGTTCTGGAATCTTTTGTGGTCCTGGCCACCACCCTACAATGTGATGTATATGTTTGAGTCTGTATAGGTTGTTAGTACACAGTTTTAAAATGTGTTCCCATAAGCAGATTATGCGAAGTGGAGCCCCACTGGTGTATGCTTAATCTGCTTTGGAAATTCTTGGGTTGGAGTATATTCCTATAAATAGATTTATAACTATTTTCCTTAGTCAAAAAAGAAAAATCCTCAAGAGATCTTTTTTGTGTTGTTCCTCATAGGTTGCCAACTTGGCCTGTTCCATCTCAAATAATGAAGAAGGTGTAAAGCTGGTTCGGATGTCTGCAAGCCAGTTAGAAGCCCTCTGTCCTCAGGTAAAGTACCTCCAGCAGTGTTTGTAGCCCCACCAAACTGGGTTTAAGTAAGAGGGCAGATGTAGCTTTTTTCTTTTAAGTTTGGGATGTTCATTTGTTTGTTTTTTGAGATGAGTTTTGCTGTGCAGTTTGAGATGGCCTTGAACTCATTTTGTAGGCCAGGCTGGTGTTGAACTCACAATGCTCCTCTTGCCTCAGCTTCCCAAGTGCTGGGATTACAGGTGCATGCCACCATACCTGGCTTTGTTTTTTGTTTTTAACTAGACATTTTGGAGACAAATCACTGATGGAAAATCCAACAGTTTCTGTGGTTTTTTATTTGCTGTTTTTTATTTTATTTTGATTGTGTGATACTAGGGATTGAGCCAAGTACACTCTTTTTATAGAGCCACAAATCCAGCCCTTTTGATTGATTGATTTTTTTAATTTTGAGACAGGGTCTTGCTAATAAAAAGACAAACCTACCCTCAAACTTGGATACTCCTGCCACTACTTCCCAAATAGCTGGGATTATAGGTGCTGTGCCACTGCACCTGCCTGAGAAAGCTTCAGTGCCAATGCCCCTTTTTGCCATCACACGTTACTAACTTCCTGCACTTTGGTAAAAGTGCATAGTGACTTCCATTACTAGAAAATGAGTGTCAGTGACCACATGTCCTCTGCACCCCATCTTAATGTCCAGTATTGGGGTCTCTGTTGGAAGAAGCCATAGTCCAGAGCTAGTACCCTTTCCCTAATGTCCTCAAGAAGCTGATAATACAGGTGTAACATAATTCAGCCAATAAAATCTAGAGTACTTTTCTCTAATGGTATGTTGGAAGATTAGGCTGTAGCCTGCTTACTGTAGTAAGTCTGTGGCACTCTGGACATATACCCTGAAGTGTGTGAGACAGTGAATACCATTTAAGTGCCCAGCGCTTCCTGATGCCCCTGAGGGAGCTCACTGTCTGCGTGGCCTGACCCTCCCTGCTACCCAGAGATTGTTAATCAGTATGGGCAGTGTTTTGGTAGAAGAGATTTCCTTTCCATTTTCCCAAGCAGTAAGTGTTTAGGACACACCCTAACGATTTACATTAACCTCTTTCTGCATGTCCTGCCAGATGGCAGCGGCCACAAACAGGCAAGTCAGTCACAGAAGTGGAGTGAGACTAGATGTCAGAGGAATGAAGTTTTCATGTTTATGTCTGCAACCATTCTTAAAATATAGTGTGACTTTAATTCAGCTTTTTCATACAAATATTCCCCAATATAGTTTGTCAGTGATTACTTTAGTGTTAGGTAGTTTGATGAGAAGCTTGTGAATCCACATCACCTGATGGATATTTCCATAATTTTAACCTAGCTATGAAGTCTGCCAGTGATTGCTAGCTATGTAAATATTAAGTGCAGTGGATTTAACCACCACCTCCAGAAAGTTCATGGATAACTGAATATATGAAATAGATTTAGAGTGGATTTTTAAAAATTGGGCATTCTTAAGTTTGTCATTTTACCTTATCAACACTTTGTTTTTAATATCTTTGGTTCTTTGTTTGATTTTGAAATGCTTGAAAAATGACAATGCTTCCACATATCTGCAGAAACAGATGGTAACATACACTGATCACACCTACCAAGAGTATTTATATAAATGATCTAGGGGGAAAATCACATGAAGTGTCTAGTAGATCCTAATGAAAAACTGGTTTACATAAACCATGTTTGACAAGGCCATGTGCCACAGGTTAGACCTTGCCATCAGAAACTCTTTTCTCCCTCTACCTGCTACTGTTTCATGTCTTCTACTAAATGAACCTCAAGTGGAATGGGCATTAGTTGGCACTGCTCTACAACTCTTGGTATTAGGTATATATCCTGGGTAGAAAGATGTTCTTCAGGTGTGGTTATTCTCCACATTTTGTTTGGGCTCCTTCTTGCACTTGCTCACAAACAGCTCTGCAAAGTGTAAATGGGCAGGGTCAGGATGGCAAATATAGTCCGTGTTGATAGGTCTGATAATGGCAGACTGAGCAGCATGGGCCATTTGTTTCTCAGTAAGGGAGCTGTGACTGCACTCCAGCCCATTTATGGCCAGACCCCTTCCTTATTTTGAAAGATAGCCATCAATTCAAATTTTTCTGTCAAGTCATATGGTGTCATGTGTCCTAGTGAAGTGATTGTGAGAGAAAGCCATTGCCGCTCTATGATCAGATTGTCCTGTTTCATTTGCATGACTCTGAAAAAGACTAATAAATGAACTTACTATCTTTTGCAGGTTATTAATGCTGCATTGGCTTTAGCAGCGAAACCTCAGAGTAAACTGGCTCAAGAGAATATGGATCTTTTTAAAGAACAGTGGGAAAAACAAGTGCGTGTTCTCACGGATGCTGTTGATGATATTACTTCCATTGATGAC